CACTGGAGATGGAGAAAAAAAAAAGTACTGAGTCTACACCATTCTGGTCCATCAAACCAAACAATGTCTCTGTTGTTCTACACACAGAAGAGCCTTATATCGAAAAGGAAGAGCCAGAGCCAGAGCCAGAACGAGTTGTGAAACAAACTAAGGCACTGACATCATTGCCAAATGTTACTCAGTCATCTGTCACCTCAGAAAGAACATCAGGTCGGACCACTGAGTTGGAGATCCGCACAGAACCAGAAGATGTTCCTCAGCTCTCAGGTGACTCTGAAATAGAAGAGCCAACATTTGAAAAATACTCAGATATTTTGAAAAGTGAAGGCATTTTGAAAAAAATTTCAGATCTTAGTTCACAGGTGCGAAAGGGGCCTCTTGGTGATAGCAGCAACCCAGAATATAGAGAGTACATTAAAGCCTCTAAAGAGCACTTAAAACGAGGTCTTGCTCTAGCAGCAGCAGCAGAACATAGATTAACAAATATGTACAAATCCAGGCTCTTTTCGCAAGGACTATCTCATAATGAAATTGATGACATTAAAACTATTATTAACATGTTATATGAGTCCAGATATAAATTATCTGAATATTTAAATATTAAATATGTACCAGCAGAGATGAGAATAAAAGCTACAGCAGTGATTGATACATTGAAAAAAGCATTATGTGTAGATCCCATAGAAACGCAAAGTCTTCTTCGAAAGTTAGTTAACAATAATATAAAAATGTTAAACCTACTTGATATTCCATGACAAAGTTGCCTTAAGCAACACAGGAGAAATAAACATATTCATGATCTCAAACGTTGTATAAAAACATTTTCTTTTGTAGTTCAATGTGCTAACATCGTAATATGTTATGAAAATATTTCATATGTACAAGAATTCTAATAATTTAAAAATAAACATTTGGTTCAGGATCTTGTAGTTCTTTTATCATTAATTTAAAAAGTTGTGAAGATCTAATTTTTAAAGTGCTTAAGCTTTGATTGTTACTTGAAGAGATTAATTAAATTCACCCATTTTATGAGTTGAGAGACTTTGCATTCTATGTAGCCAGTTTTAAATAATTGTATGTAGATGTAAAATTTGGAAGTAGTCTTTATTACTCTTTAAGAGAATCTGAAGTTTTCTTTTTTTAGAACTTTTTTAGAGGATTTTTTGCTATAGGGTGCCAGAAAGACAGAGACAGAAAGCGAGAAATCACCTTCCAGGGGAGATGGCCATGCTGCAATCCCTTCTCCATTCTCCTCTCGGGATCTTGGGCACGCACGCACATGGCCTAGCGTGAGTTTAAGCCACGGGGTCCGGGACTCAAACCACAGTCGACTACATGGGAGTCCAGTGACATAGCCATTATGCCAACTGCTGGTCCTGAATTATTTATTTTTATTATTAGTATTATTTTTTAATTTGCTATAGGTCATGTGTGCTCACCAGAGAGAGAAAGAGAGAGAGGAAGAGAAAGAGAGAGGGAAAGTAAGAAACAAGCCACTGGGTTTGGGACTTGAACTGCATTCAGCCAAGTGAGAGTCCAGTGCCTTAACCATCATGCCATCTGCTGGCCCCAAGCATCAAAGTTTTCTATCTGAATAGCATATTGAGGCTTTAATCAGACTACTTATTTGAATAAATGTGTGCCTTCTTCAAAAGATAGATGCCGCATTAAGACACATTCTTATTTTTTGGTTGTTAAGTACTTTTACTTTTGGAGTACTAGTAAGGGACTGTAACCTACATTTGTAATGAAATCGTTCCCAGTTTCCTCTTTCTGTTTGTGTGCATACACATTGAACCTTTGCAAATTTGTTGTCAGGGGTTTTGATTAACACCATTAAGGTTAACTGTAATATAAGAATTACAGGTGATTCTGTTTCATGATTGGACCAGTATTATATTCACATTTATTTATTTAATAATTTGTAAAGCCAGTCATTTATAAAGATTTATTGACTTTCTACTATGGGTAGGACAAAATGCTAGACTTTCAAGAGAGCAAGGCCTAGTTCCTTCTCTCTTTACAATTGTATTACAGCAGGAAAGATAAACATTAAACAAATAATTTCAACTTTTTTTTTTTTTCTTTTTTTGGAGAGGTTTTTGCTATAGGGCGCGTGTGCTTGCCAGGCAGACAGAGAGAGAGAAAGCGAGAAATCACCCCTCAGAGGGGATGGCCACGCCGCAATCCCTTCTCCTCCATTCTCCTCTTGGGATCTTGGGCATGCACGCACACGCACCTGGCGTGAGTTTAAACCACCGGGTCCGGGACGCAAACCGCAGTCAACTACGTGGAAGTCCAGCGACATAGCCATTACGCTAACTGCTGATCCCAAATAATTTCAACTTTTTAAGATTTCAATTGTGACAAGTGGTTATGAAGGTGTGAGTTATCGTACCTAAACCAAGATTAATGCCACTACCCTGAGAAAGTGGCATTTAAAGTGAGGTATGTGTGAAAGGGAAGGGGGCACCTTAGGCAGAGGGAACAGTGTGTGTGAATACTGTAAGTCGAGAATGAGTGGGGCAAGTTCAGGAGTATAGAAAGGTAAGGAGGAGCATCCTATGCTGGAGCTGATCCTGCGGAGCCTTACAGTGCCTATTGACTATTTTAACCTTTATTCTGTCATCAAGAAGAAGCCATTAGTGGATTTGAAGACAAAATAGGAAGGAAAATTCATTTTATTTACCCACATTTTTGCAGTAGCCGTTATTTCTTTCTTGATATTCAAGGGTTTCTTGTTTTATCATTTCCATTCTGTTAAAACTTTTCTTTAGTTCTTCTTTTAAATAGGTCTTCTGATGACAAATTCCTTTATTTTCCTTTATCTGAAGATCTATTTATTCTTCATTTGTGAAGAATATTTTTGCTGGATATAGTATTTGAGGTTAAGTTTTTCTTTCATCACTTGAAAAATCTGCTACTTCCCGCCTGCCTCCCTGCATTGTTTTTGATGAGAATCTGTTGCTGTTTGTGTTATTTTCTTTTTGCTGGTAAGATGTCATTTCTCTCTCATTGCTTTCAAGGTCTTTTCTTTGACTTTAATATTAAAACATTTGCCTATGTGTCTTAGTATAGATATCTTTGATTTTATCCTGTTTGGGGTTTGCCTACTTCTTGAATCTGTAAGTTTATACTTCTTACCTAATTTAGAAATCTCATTATTTCTTCAATTACTTTTTTCTTTTCTTTTCTTTTATAGATTTTTGCTGTAGGGCATGTGTGCTTGCCAGAGAGACAGAGAGAAACAGAGAGACAGAAAGCGAGAAATCACCCCCAGGAGGGATGGCCACGCTACAATCCCTTCTCCTCCATTTTTCCCTTGAGATTTTGGACATGCATGCACACCCACCTGGTGTGAGTTTTAAGTTGCCAGGTCTGGGACTTGAACCACGGTCGACTGTGTGGTTCGACTTAATCATTATCTAATCATTATGTCCAGCAACATAACCATTATGCCATCTACTGGTCCTTTCAATTACTTTTTTCAACCCTTCCTTCTTAACTTCTGAAACTCCAATGACCGTGAATGATAGATCTTTTATATTGGGGCTCTTAGGCTCAGTTTTTTTTTTTTTTTTCCCAGCCTGTTTTCTCTGTTCAGTTGGTATTTCTCTTGGTCTATATTCAAGTTTACTTATTCTTTCCTCTGTTCTCTCCATTCTTCTGTTGAACACATTCACTGAGACCTTTATTTTGATTAATATCTTTTTAAGTTCTAAACTTTCATATGGTACTTCTTTTAGCTTCTAATTCTTTGCTAATACTTTTCTTTGGGGGTGATTTTTAGACTTTCATTTATTTCAAGCATTTTATAAATTGCTCACTGAAGCATTTTTACAAGGACTGCTTTAAAATCCTTGTCATGTAAGTTTTTTCTAAATTTGCTATAGGGCTTATGTACTCATCGGAGAAAGAGAAAGTGCCCCTCAGGGGGGATGGCCATGCCACAGTGTTCACAGTCTTCTCCATTCGCCTGTGGGAGGTTTTTCTTTTCTTTTCTTTTTTTTTTTTTGCTTGTTTGTTTTTGTTTTGTTTTGTTTTCTGTTTTTGCCACATGCGCTCACCAGAGAGATAAGAGAGGGAAAATGAGAAATCAGCACCCCTCCCCCCCAGAATAGCCATGCTGCAATCCCCCTCCTCCATTCTCCTCTCAGGATTTTGGGCATGTATACAAATGTGTCTGGCATGATTTTTAAACTGCCAGGTCCAAGGCTCGAAACACAGTCAACCTTGTGGGAGTACAGCACATGGACAAACATTAAACAAATAATTACAAAAATAACTATAATTAATCAGCATGCCACCTGCTGGCCCCTCTCCTGTGGGGATTTTGGGCACAGGTGCACACATACTCAGCATATTTTCAAGCCACCAGGTTTGGGACTTGAACCGCACAGTTGGCCATATGGGATCCAACTACCTTAACCACCACATCACTGGCTGGCCCATCTTTGTCATACAATTCTAATATCTCTTTCATCTTGGTGTTGACATCGAGTGATTATTATTTCTACTGATTAGTAGTGCAAGTCCTGACCCACCACTAGACCTTCTGTGACATCACTTGGCAGTAAAAGGTAGTGATTATTCATTACTGCTGGATATTAGCAGTAGTGAGGTAAAACCAGGCTTTCCACATAGTCTCCGCTAACATGGAATGGCGAGTCTGTACACTCCTCAGGGACGAAAGTCCTGGCTTCCTACTCGGTCTTCTCTTACACTACGTCTTAATGAGGGGTGAGCCTAATCTCCTTAGGCTCCCCACTTGGCTTTTGTCAGCAGGTAAAGAGATTGTGTTGGGATCACAGTTTTTCTGTAGCGTTTGGTAAGAATGTACTGATTATTGTCCAAACATTTTCTGTGCTGCTCCTTTCCTGGTCCTAGAGAGAACAAGCTTTGATTGTGTTTTTTAAAATGTCTGTGCCCATTCATGTCCCTGAGTTGTCAAGTTTCTTTAGCTCCGTGTCTGGAATCTTATCAGGTACAAATACAAACAAAAACAAACAAACTAGGGAATCCTTCATTGGATTCAGAGGTCTTTTTTTTTTGGGGGGGGGGAGAGGTTTTTGCTATAGAGCACGTGTGCTTGCCAGACAGACAGAGACAGAGAGACAGAAAGCGAGAAATCACCCCCCAGGGGGGATGGCCACGCCACAATCCCTTCTCCTTCATTCTCGTCTTGGGATCTTGGGCACGCAAGCACATGTGCCCGGCGTGAGTTTAAGCCACCGGGTCCGGGGCTCGAACCGCGGTCGACTACATGGGAGTTCAGCGACATAGCCATCACGCTAACTGCTGGTCCCAGATTCAAAGGTCTTTAACCAGTATGAATTTTTTTCTGTCTCTCTATATAAACATATCTCATCTATCTATCTATCTATCTATCTATCTATCTATCTACCTATGGAAAGGCGAATATATTTATGTTATATTTAATATGAAGTAATAGGAGTTTTAGTTTTGTTTAGGAGTCTGTACTATATTTGAAGGACAAGGAGCATAATTTAAAAGATTGTAAGCAGTTTTAGAAAGTCACTTTGACTGGCTTCAGTGTAAATAAAAGACAGGAGTAAAACTAGAGGTGGAGGCCACTTTAGAGACTCTTGAGAGACTGGAAGGCAGTTAGGAGACTGTTAGAAGAATCTGGTAAAAGATGGTGTTCTGGACTTGGATGATAATAGAAGAGATGGAAACAAGTAGTACATTTGAGAGACTACTGAAAATTTGAGAGACTATTGAGAACCAACAGAATTTAGGGCCAGTGGTGGTGTAGTGGTTAAGACACTGGACTCTTACATGGCT